CTCCCCTTCCGGCCCGGTCGGCTGGCCTCCAATGCACATGTGGGCATTGCCACCGCCTGGCTGCTTCTGAGGCTGCCTGGCGAGCCGGGAAGGAGCCGCTCCTGCCTGCCAGTCCCAGGGCTGCACCGGGCGCCGGAGGGCCGAGGCAGCCTCCGATGGTGAGGGAGGAGGCCAGGCAGCGTGGGGGAGGCTCCGGCATGGTGTGGAGGGTGGCCGGGGGCGGAGCGCAGCAGTTCCACCAGGAGGCGTGGGGACCGGCTCGGCGCCGCAGCTCAGCTCAGCTCAACCACCACCAGCAGCAGCAGCGCATTGCCAGAGCAGGGTGGGAAGAGAGGGGGCGATGGCAAGTCATGAAAGCAGCGTCCACATGTTCAGGGTGCAAACGCCTTGGACGGTTTGGCTCCCCCACCCCTTTATTTACTGATCTGCCACAAGCTCGTGCACACAAGCCCTGAGGAGTTCTGAACAAGTGGTTGTTTAAAAAAAAAAAAGCTTTAAGCAATGAGGCAGAAAGGGAAACTCGCTCATGGCTCTTTTTTTTCTCTTTCTCGGCGACTGGGAAGGCAGCAGCCAGAGACACCGCTGCACAAAGGGAGGCGGAGAGAGGGGCGAGGGGGAAAACCTCACTCAACTTCGCCCTTATCAGACCCGGTTCCTTTCTGGTTGACCCCCACCCCCTCCCACCTGCCCCCTTCACCTCCCGCTACAGATCATGGGAATATTTTGCAGGCTTTTTTTTTTTATCTTGGCCCTGCGCTTCTCCCAGACAGAAGTCAGGCAAGAGGACCTGAAAGACGCCAAGCAGGAGGTTCATAGCCATGGCAACGCGGCAGTAGCTGCTCTGCGATGGGTAGCGCCACCCCACCATACTGCTGAGGCAGCTGCTTTCCTGTCTGCCCGAGCTGGCTGGCAGAGCTAGACTTGAGCAGAAATTCTCACTAGTTTTCCGATGGTCTTAGGCAACCCCTGTGAAAGCGTCATTCGACCCCCAAAAGGTTCGCGACCCACAGGTTGAGAACTGCTGATGTAGAAGGTAAAACATTATAGTGTTTTATTGAAATTCATGTATGTTTCAAAATTCTAAGATGTATTGTTGCATTATTACAAATGATGCTGACAGCCAATCAACAATAGTAAAATATAAAAGGGGAGGTTCCTTCTTCTCCCTAACAAAAAATAAACATCACTTTTGCGGAAAAATTTATCTCTTCTGCATCTCTTTTCTTTCTTTTCAGAATAGTATGACCATAATTTTGTGACTTTATCAATGCCATTAGATTTGCAAAGGATTCAACAGATTATGGACAGTATTCTATGTACATGAACATAGGTTCATTTAGAAAGTAAAGTATCTACAGTTTTTTTTATCCAAATAAAGTAGGTTTCAGAAGACTATGATGTCTTGTTGCATTATTATGAATGTTGCTGGAGTTCTGTTGATTGTGTTGTATTATCCAAAGCTATTCTGCAAAAAACCAGAAAGATATGGTGGAAGATTTCTTACAAGGTCCCCAGAGACTGTTACCAATACAGAAAGGTTTCTGCAGATTCTTAACCAACAGAAGACATAAACTAATTCTAGGCCACAACCAGAGGACAAACTCAATATCCAGAATGCAGATGACATGTACCTGGAGAAGATTCAAGCATGGTAGGGACCTACCTGTAATTACAATGCAACAGAATATGATCAATAGTAAGATTCATAAATCTTGATTTTATTTGTTCATTCACATACACTATAGAAGTTATTCATATACAGCAGAATCTTTTGAACAATGTTTCTAGGAAGATAAGCCTCAATGATTTTCAGCTGTGATTGGATGCACAGAGCCTAAATCATCCTCTATTTTCTGTTAGAAAACATACAGATGATTTAAATGTTAATGAGTTCCTAAATCATATTAAAATCACGCTACAAGGCAATGTTTAAGTGTTGTGGAATGGTAATTTACAGCTAGTGGTCACTATTGTAAAGGACAGAGAGAGGCAGCCTTAGGAAGTTAAGCACAGTGCTATTCACTAGTCCTGGAGAAAAACCACCTTGGTTGATTTCAGTATAGGCATATTGGATGGGGAATTCTGAGAGTTAAAGTCTACCCAAGGTTGAGAAGTACTGACATAGACTAAGCTAGAACTAAAGTTTCAAATGATTCAAATAAATCATAAAATCATTATAAAAATTTAGCAAAAATAGAAAAATGTTTTGGTCATCTATGTCATCTAGTTTAATCCATAGTTTCAATCTGAAAATGGAATAAAATGTTGTGTTTATATCTATAAAAGCTGTGTATAAAGATATTGTATTGTTATAAGACATCTCATCAAGTATTGTAATATGAAGCAATGATCTTGTACTACTATTTTCACCTTAAGTCTTAATATGGGGATCAGTGCCTAGTTGCAAATGAATGACAAGTAGCGTTTGGAACTTGCTGGAAATAAATGTTGATGAAATAGTGGAATAATTTGTCATAAAAACAATTTAATGTGATTTAATACTGACTTGCTATAGTTGGATTGTAGGCAGTCTACATTAGATTATGGGTGTTTCTGTATTAGAAACTCTGTGTTCCCTTATATTCTGCCAATTGTACTCTGGTAAGTATGCCTAGGGGTTGGAGAATTCTGGTTGTCATTTCTGACACCCCTTTTTCAGAATCAGAATTATTAAGATCAAGATAAGCAGAAGGTTCAAAAGTAAGCAAGCTACAAAAAACAACTTGATTAAATTAATTAACCTTTACTCAGGTTGTAAGCCAGAAATAGAGAGTTTATGGAAGTGGAGTGTTATTATTCAAGTTATTGGAAAATTTAACCTGATAAACTCACAAGATCAGACAAGTTTCCATTTCTTTTGTCATACACTTAATATTACATCATGTATAGTTTTGCAATTCTGCAGGAATGAAAGAGGATGAAAGATGAAAGATGATCTATTCATTCCTGGTTATCTTCTGTTCTAACTTAATTTATTATAAAAAAACTAGTATTATGTTAGATATATAAGCAATCTCTAATGTTCTATCTGGAAAACTAAATGCCTTAATATTATTGATATCATGAATTATTTGCCAGACCCTTAAATTGTTGCAAATTGGGTATTATTGTCTTAATTTTTCCATTTTAATCAAGATGGTTACACTGTATTTAACAAATGTTTGTTTATAAATTTAGGTTAGTGTTTAATTCAGCATAGAATTTGGCTCTTGTAAGCCATTTGCTTTGTCATTGTACTTAAATATCTAAATTATAATTTAGTTGCTCATTAGTGATAGTAATTGTCTACATCTTGCCAAACAGACTGTGATAACTAGAAATGAAATTTGCATATATCAGAGTTATTTCATGGATGGTAAATGCATCTAAATAATTTATATTTTAAATAAGCACCTTGCTGTGGTTAGTGGTATTTTGATGGCTATTATGTGTCCCCAATGTAATTAGAAAGCAGATCTTCCTGTCATTAAGTAAATGCAAGAGACTTTAATAGATGATTGCAGGTGCTACCACAAATAGGTTTTCCTAGCATAATACTGGGCCTTGCATTCATTTTAAACACTTTCTATTTATAAATTTGTACTATTTTTACTAGTCTCTCTCTGTGTCTCTATCTCTCTTACACACACACACACACACACACACACACACACACACACACACACACACACATTTTTCTAATATTTAAAAAAAAAGCACAGTTACCCTATTTGGTACTAACTTATAGAGGAAAAGTTGTTTCCTGCTAACAATAGTCAGTAAGTAACAGATAAATCATTTTTATTCCTTTGGGGACTTGATAAAGTTCAGGAGGTTTTTTTCAGTTTTCAGTTCTGAATTTTCTTTTATTTCTTGCCACTGTGATAAAAATAATCCATATAGTTTAGTCAGTAAACATATTAGATCATCTCTGTTTTTCCAACCCATATTTTAAATGGAATAGTGTGGGACCTTAAATCTGAGCTACAAATATTCTCTTCTAAATAGAATACTGCACATTGGTAGATATGGACCATTATTATTACAATACACAGTATTAAATTATATAAAACCAAGCTGAAAGACAAAGTTACTTAATTCAAGAGCCATGATTTTTTCTCATTTTAGTAATATCAGAGTTTGATCACAGGAGGAAACTATTGTCATTACAATGTACCTAACTACAACACACCAGTAAAAAGTGTTTGCTAGTTGGTAATTTCCTGGAGAAAAGATAAAATAAAATATTCTGTGTATTTGAAAGCATTAAACAGCTTGTTGATTTTAAACAGTTCACTCCATCTTGTCTCAGTATTTGTGATTATGTGGCCTTTGGGTGTTTGATAATACCTTGGCAGCTCTTATATTTTATCTTTAGAAGTCCATTTAAGGGTCTGGCAAACTTCTCCAGCTTTGCATGGCAGGAAACGTACGCATTTGTCATACAGGGACGGTTGCATAAGTATTCCATTTATAGTTCTGCAAATGTAACATTCTGGTTGGGGACACTCAAACAGCAAAGCACAGAACAGGAACTCAGATCAACCAACCAGCACACAGGACATGCACTTCTGCACAACATGCAGTTGTGATTTGCAGGTGTGCATATCAGCCCGCATGCAGCCTTCTGCACCTATGCATACCCATGAATCCCTTCGTAGTATAGCTTTGTGGTGCTAGCTACGGACAGTTGTGGGTAACTTTAAATCAGCCTTTAGCCATGCTTTCCTTCTTTTATTGACCTGTATTTTATTTTTCTTTGCTAGGTAATATTATATGTAATATATGTTGTAAAGAAAAAACAACAAAAGCACAACTGAAGTTTGAAAGCATCTCAACCACAGAGAACCACAATCAAATTTACTGATTTGTTTGCAAATTTATTTGCACATTTTCTAATTTGTTCTATAAGGCAAATAAAGAATACATTCACTCTCATTTTAAATGGAGCATTACTGTATATTAACTGTGTCAAAATACGTTAAGATTTAAATTTAATTTAAATAATACACTACAACGATTGTTTAGACGCCGGAGAAACTTCTAATATAATTTAGCAGATTCCTGGATTTCACTTACAACCGTTGCAGCATTCCCATGGTCAGATTTATTGCATTTGCAAGAGACACCAGGGATACTCTTTTGAAACTTGGCTACTTCAGTGTGCTAGATATGGCTTAAGCCTTAAAGGACAGTTAATCCCCACTTAATTGCTTGCCTGAACTTTTTCTCTGAGCAGCATGATTGAACTGAGCATCCTTGCTATCACATGAGTGACAGAGAATGAACAAGCTGGGTGGCAGTAACTCCCTCCGCGTGCCTCTTTCTCCAGAGCCATCTTTATTAATGGTGACAGTTTGAAGATGTATGGACTTCAGTTCCCTAGGAATTCCTGAAATTGAGGTCCATTTATCGAATTGCTACAGTTGAGCAACACTGCTCTAGTGCAAAAAAAAGGGGGGGGGTTTATATTGCCTCAAACAAGTGATGTCCAAGCATAATTTGGGTACCAGAGCATTACCTATGCTTTGCCCAGTACTTCCTGACAAAAAAAGGATAGGATGAGAAATTGATTGGATGGTATTTTACGGGATTTAAAATGACTAAGCCCATGACACAAATTGCACAATAGGAAATCCAGTCCAGAATGCAATTAGCTCATTGTATCACCAGGGAACAGAATTTAGCAGGCCCAGGATAAAAAAAGTAGGTAAAGCCACTTTACAGCTAAATTTGATGCAATTAAAATTTAAAAAGGATTAAAATGTGTGGTTTATAATTTACCCTTTGTGGGATCGACTGACCCTGCAATTTTTGCCGCAGCTTCCCTCCCATCCCCCGTTAGCTGTCATTGAGGGTGAGTTTGGCTGTGGGACTCGGGATTTCGACTAAGCCCACGTCTCGCTGCATTGCCGGTCGGAAGAGACGGCCAAGGCGCTCCTTGTCCTTCTTTCGCTTCCGATCTGAGCAGCCTTAGCTTGTCTGCGATAGCTCGGCCTTGCGGGCCGGGAAAATATTTCCCCAAAAGGGGGGAGGGGAAGGAAGGCATTACGAAAGTTTTGGGCACTTTGTGTTATATACCCGCAGCAACATTTGGAAACTTTGGGCGGAATTGGTGCGATTTATTATGCGTGGAGGGAAAGCCGTCACGCAGTATCGTGGGGCTGCACGTGGCATCTCCCGATTCTCCGTGCTTCGGCCCCTACAACAAAGCCTTTCCCCACCCTGCGCCAGAGGATTCTCTTGCGTGCAAGCCGGCGGCCCAAATGGGGCTGGGTCCGGTCGTCTCCTCCCTGCCTTTCCTTCCTTTTTTACGCACTGCCTTGGACGGGCGCGTATGCTGTGGATTCGCCCGCTAGACGCCGAGATTGCTGCGTGCTTGCTGCTTGGCAGGTATCCCCTTCTTTTTTCCTCTTCCTTGCCCCCTTGGTGCAGCCGGCTAACCCCGGCGAGAGGCGAGGGGGGCGGACGGCACGTGCTTCAGTCTACCTCGACAGCAATTGTGGTGCTGGCTTTCTTATTCTTGGTTACCCTTACTGGGCGGGAAGAGGAAGCAGGAAGAGGAATAGTTTCACTGCACATAGAAAGAAGCAAGTTCCCATGGGATATTGTCGCCTCCGCTAAGTGTAGAAGTTAGTTACTATGGTTGGTGTTCCCAAAGTAGCCTTTGGTTGAATCTGACTGTTAAAAATCAAGCCGCCGTGCTATCCTGCTGATTTGTTCTCCTTTGCCCTTTTTCATTCTCGCTTCTCCTCCTCTTCCCCCCTCTTTTCTGCTCAAGGCTTCCCAACATTCCTGAATTATAATAAATACCCTACGCTCAATTCTCATGAGGGCGGCTGCATTCGGAGATTCCCTCTTCTGAAGTCATCCCCCTCTCTCCCACTATTTTTGCTGATTTTGGCATTCCTTCGATGTTTCCAATGTTTGTCTGGTCGGTGACTTTCAAAAGTAGGTTGTGCTTTTTAAAAGCGCTTGCAACGTTGCAGCTAGCAGGTTGGAATTGGGTTGCTGACCAGATATCACTGCTCGGTCTTCCTAATTTAAGCAGAGCTGGCTTTTAATGTTTTAAGTAAAATTCACAGATATTTAATAATACTGAATGGTTCACTTTGAGTAAATATGTGGTGCCTCAGTGACAGCTATTGTATAATAAGAACAAGCAGATAATGAATTCAAAATTCAGGTTTAAAAGTATTTTTCGTAGCCATAAAATGTGATTAGGTAAGTAACAGTTATAAAATATATTTTAAAATCTAGGGATGAATTCCATATATATGGAATGTTGCTATGCCTATTATTTTTGATCTCTTATAAGGAATGTTTGAAGCAATAATTATGCAATTGATTGAAACAACTCAAGAAAAGATTAAGATTAATACATGAATTTTGAGGGTCTTGAAGATTCAGCAGTCAGTGGAGCCATTGCAGAAAAGGCCCTGCTGGTACTTGCCAAGTTCTGTGCTCTTAGCTCAGCATTTCTCAACTTTGGCAACTTAAGCTGTGTAGATTTCAACTCCCAGAATTTCTCAGTTTGTATTGTTGAAGTCACGATTTTACTTCTCCCAATGTTTAGGTGGTTACTTTCTGCATGAGTAGAGGTTTCTTTGATGTTTAAGCTTGAATAGGGCACTCCTAAATGTAGTTAAGCTTCCCCAATTAGTAAATAGTATAGAAGACAATGCATACTTGGGTTTTTCATATCAAATGAGGTTGTTGGACAAATAGGCCCAAAAACAGCCAGGGAAGTCATTCAAGTCTGGGAAACAGGCCTCTCCTCAATCAACAGAAGTGCTGATTTACCCCCAGCTTATCAAATACTTAGGAGGTGAGGGCTTAGCAGCACAAGTAAAAAACAGCCAATGACTTAAAACTCCTCTATCAACTCCTCTACATCTAAAAAGCTACACACAACAGTTACCATATACTGTGTAAATACACAACAGCCCAAAACACAAAGAGAGGTTCCCTGTGGATTGGGTCCAGCATGAATCAAAAAGCTCCGAAGAAAAAACTTCTGGTTCTGGTCCTGGTGATCGGCCCAGATTGGATCCTGCATTATCCTGGGACACATATAAATAAAATGGACACAGTTATGTGGTTAATATAATACGTAAATATGTGCATATTCTATTTATCCTAAAAGGAAAATGACCCTGAATTTAAAACTCTTCCCCAAAGCAAAAGCAAGAAGAAAAAAAATAGAGACAAGCATATATTCCCAACTCTAGCTGAAGCCTATCCTTGAGATTACCTACCAGATAAAATGTTTGCATATGTCACACATGGGTACATATATGTATTGTATGTGTGCACATCTACTTGTTAAAGACTGGGCTTTAAAAAAGGGCAGGCCAAGGCAAAATATTAATAGTAATTATAATAGGACACAATTTTAAAACTACAGGTAATCTTCAATATGACTGTTTGAAGTTACAATGCCACTGAGAAAAGTGACTTATGACCATATTTCACACTTATGACTTTTGCAGCATTCCATGGGCATGTAATTTACATTCAGATGCTTGACAACTGACTCGCATTTATAATGGTTGCAGTGTCCTGGGATCATGTGATCACCTTTTGCAACCTTCTGACAAGCAAAGTCAATGAGAAAACCAGATTCACTTAACAACCATGTTACTAATTTAACAACTGCAGTGATTCACTTAATAAATGTGGCAAGAAAAGTTGTAAAATGGGGCAAAACTCACTTAACAAGTTTCTCACTTAGCAATATAAATTTTGGGCTCAATTGTGATTGTAAGTTGAGGACTACCTTTAGTTGATTCTCTTTATATCAAGCAGTCTCTCACACATATGCACAAACCACTTGAACCAGACACACAGGAAGGAAAAACAGGATGGCAGGGCGAATAGAGAAAAAATAGCTACACTGAAATGATAAGAAAAAATGGAAACAGAAAACAACAGGGCAGAGATGATTCAGGAGAAGCAATAACTGGATAAGGAAAAAAAGAAAAGCTGTTGAGGCATAAAATTTAACTAGGCCTGCATTCTGAACCCATCCCTCTCAAATTGGCTAAGCTTCAAAATTATTTATGCTTGAGATTCTTCAGCCCTTCCAAACTGTTGTCCGCTTCTTACTTTTCAATAGATTTTTCAGTTGATTTGGAAGAAAAAAATATCCTACTATGAAGACAGTTTATGTGCTCAGAATAGATTGGAATTATTGATATGTGGAAGTATAGGATTGTGCAAAAGTGTATGAAAGCATTAAGAAAATCTTCATAGTTTTGATGTTGGTACTGTACTTGTTTAATATTATACATTTTTTTATTTTTGTGAAGACATAATCATAATAATAACTTTTCACCCTTCCCAGTTAATAGGTCAGTTAAATTTTTAATAAATGTATTTTAATCTAATGGAATCAACAAGGAATTCAATTGTTGAAGTGAAGCATAAATATTTTTCAGTTAGCTGACTCTTCAAAAAATTTCACAAACTCAGGAAAATTTGACATAGATAAACTAAGTTTCATGCTGCTTTCTTTCCAGATTGTACAGTATTTCCTCTGTTTAAATGTGTGGTAGTCCAATAGGAGACTGGAGAAATTTAAAATGTACAGTACATTAAACTTTTAGAGTTCCATTATAATATGGACAGAAAGATAGAAAAAGCCAAAGTTCTGCATTGGAAAACTGCCCGTTTTTGTGTAGATATCTTGTTAATAATTCAGTGTTACCTTTTATTGCTGGGCCAAAAAGAATGAAAGTCCACAATGGGATCTCTTGAATTGTTTAACTTGTTTTCTTCTTTCTTCATTCCTTTTACCTGAGGCAAATAATACAGTTTTGCTTCAGAGAAAGAAGGAAATTCTGTGCTCTCAAAAATATATATAAAGGATATACAATTCCATGCCTCAGTGCTGACATAGTATTGAGATTATAAAATCAAATCAAATTATCAGTTTGCAAAGACAGTTTTTAAAATATTTTTTTAAAAAGCAGGATACATAACTTGCCAATCTGTTTGTGAACTAGTTTGACATGATAAAAGCCATACTTTCTCAACTGTAATATATTTAGGAAAAATAGCACAATGTGAGATGCAAAGGAAATAACAATTAGGTTACAAAGTGCTGTAGCTATTTAGGTTTCAGATTTTTATGAATTAAGTGGATCATCAAATCTTTCAACTGCCCATTGTCTGATTTTGTGAAATTAATTCTCAACTATTTTATTTATTTATTTATTTATTTATTTATTTATTTATTTATTTATTTATTTTTTCTTGGAAGTAATTAAAGATAGTCCTACATTATGTGTAAAAGATGTTTGGAAATCAGATTTAGGCAAGTGATGGGATGATGAAGTGTGGTGATCTTCTTGTAAGGTATTTTCATTTTGTTCCATGTAGGAATTATATCTTACTATTTTATACTGGTAATATTTAATCTCTATGAGAAATCACAAATAACACTGCCTCCCAATCTTTTTTTTTTTAAATCCAGGTCCCAGTCTTCAGGAAAACATTTTTTTTCACGGACTGGCAGTGGTGGCAGGGGGAGGGAATAGTTTCACATCCTACTTAGATCCCATGCATGCGCAGATGAAGCTTCACTCACTTGCGTGTCCTGGTTCCTAACTGGCCATGGACCGATACCAGTCCGCAGACTAGGAGTTGGGGGACCCCTGACTTATAATACAGAAATATGAGGGGCTGGATAGATTATAATTTTTAAAAAAGAACATTATTCCTTCTTTGGTGGGAATGTTATAAAGTCTTAAAATGTTGATTTTTTAAAAAAATCACAGTATTAACCAAACAAAAAATTTAATTTAAGAATTTAGATTGGTTTTTTTAAAGGAGCTATATCTTCTTTCCTCATTTGTAGCTTTAAAGTAAAGATATTACATTTTAGAACACTTAGATCTTCAGATGTCTCCTTTTTTTACGCAATGGGTGTTTTAATATTTAAATATTTTAATTATCATATTTTGTATCTCTCTGCAGTTGATTTGTGTTTTATATTTGTTGGTTTTAAAGTTTTGTTGCCACTGCTCTGAACCTCTGTCAGGAATAGTTGGTATTCATATTTAAATAAAACTATTGAAAAATAAATATTATTTTACAAAATAAAGAGGCCCAACATTTCTTTTCAGCTAAATAATTTTATGTTTTTCAGAGGTTCTAATAAAATTAACAGAAGGATAATTTTTATTTACCAAAAGTAATACTGTTCTAGGGTTCATATCATTTGTTTTAAATCAGTTTATGCATATTCTAATACAGCAATCATCAAACCATGGGTTGAGACCATGGTGAGGAGATTGCAAGCAAATTTGAGAAGCATTCAAGTTTCTAGGTCCCAAAAAAGGTTGAAAGGTGGATGGACAAGGAGTATCGCATCTTCAGAGCTACAATTCATAGGTCAAGAAGGAGGAAATATGTCCAAATTATTCATGAGTGACATGCAGGTTCAGTTCCTGCTCAGCTGCCTATGAACTTCCAAGAAGTATGGCACAGAATAGATCATCTTCAACTCTAAAGACGCAAGCCACAATTGCTAGTAAAACATCAGAATACCAGATAATTAGACCAGGGCCTCTTGGTGAGAAGTTCATAATCTTTGGACTGATGTTGTCTGTGAAAGCCTATCTTGATGTATTTACCTTCTGAGTCCTAGAAAAAGTTGTGCCAGATTCACCCATTTGAGTAGTCCTGGTGTCATTTGGCTACTATTTTCCACTTAGTAGCCAAGGAAAGAAGTGACTCATCATATGCAAATATAAAAAGACAAAAAATAAATGTTCACTAGGTTACACATTGCTCGCTGCAACATTTTTCCTTCGAAGACAGGGCCATGAAATATAGAAACACTATATTATCTCTAATAATGACATCATGTTTACACACATACACATACACATACACTCCCTATGTTTGAGAATTCTGGGAGTTCAAACTGCCAAGGTTGAGAAACCCTGTTCTAAACCATAAAGGGTGGGCTTATTGAACTAAACCAGATTAGCATAAAAACCTGCAAAATTAATTTGGAATAACATTTACAGTCTTTTGGATCTTTTTAATTTTTCAGTAATAGTTAATGGAGGCAAATTTTAAATAATCTTTCTTGTATTTTTTTAAAATGCTTTTGTTATATAAAGATAACCAGACACAAGATTAAAAGAAAAAAGAAAAATTGATCCAAAACCAAAAAAAACCCCAATGTTAAAACAAATATGTACATTGAAAAAACTAAAAAAATAACAAACCAAGATGACCTCATTTTGAGTTAACTTATATTAAATAACTTTTAAAACATAGGCTGGAACATTTTATTCAAAAATAAATTAGTTCTCCTGGATTCACTTTAAGGGTTTCTGATTGGACATTATTATAGCCAGCATGACTGTGTGTAGAAACAATTGTATAGAATTAGGTAAAAATGGGAATGACCTTAGGGATTTGGTCAAAAACAGCTCTTCGTTATTAGTATATCCTAGATTTTGCACTGCAATAACTGTTGAGCTATTCAAGTTGCTGTCATTGGAAATATACCTGAATCTTTTGTAACATCAAATACAGTACAATGGCTTGTAATGACACATCTTATTACTTGCTGGTAATAAGCTGTCAGGATAGATGATGATTTAAATATATCTATTTCCTCCTGACAAGTGACAGGCTCTCAAATATTTCTGCTGATTTTCACAAATTTCTTGGTGTATGTTAACCACAAAAAATGTGTTGTAAATTGAATTTCTGCTTTATTTTATGTGCTAAAAGCAGGCCACTAGTATTTTTTAAAATGTTTATCAGACAGAGGCAACAGTTGCTATGTTTATTAGCAGTATGAAAACATAAAACAATGGAAAGAAATTACAGAAGTTGTTTTTAGCAATCAAAAATGATTTCATGAAACGGCACCAGATGTCCCTTATGGCTTCTTTTGTCTCAAATATATTGCTTATGAATCTTAATATAACACATGAGGAGTAATTTAAACAATACTTCACTGTAAAATACTTTACTTGACGTACATGTAAAGCTGTTGCCTCTTGTGAAGAAATACCATTAGGATTAAATTAATTCTAACTGGAAAGAGAAAGTGAGGATCTGTGCAAATTGCAGGTTTTAGTTTCTCTCTGTGTTTTGAGCTTGCATTTTAAAATACTTTATTATCTTTAAGCAATTTAAAAGTTGGCAGGGTTAATGCTAGACATTTTGTGGAAATGTTATAAGAAGAAAGGCTCACTCTCTTTGATAGATATTATTCCTACTTAAGTGTGCTTAGACTTGCAACTTGGATATAAGGTCCTTTGAACTTAATCTGACATTATTGCCAGCGGATATACAGAGATCACTGATCCCAAACTGCCATTTTGCTCCCACATATAAGGCCATATCAACAGTGGCAGTTGGGACTGGAATTTCCATCTCTAAATGATGCAATCATAAAATGTAACTGCTGCACCATTTAGCAATAGCAATCCCTGCCATCCAGGTTGTCATTGTTAAAAAATCTCATGGTCTTTAGGTGGGCGCCGCCTGGGTGGGCATGCTGGGTGGTCATGAGTGGGCGTGGTCACTTGTGCCTGTGGGGACACAGGTGGGGCTGGAGGGTTCAGGGGCCTAACGTGGAAGGGGTGGGTCCAGGGTGGGTACCTGGGCCTGATCCACCAAAGGATCCTTGCTGACCCTTTCAGGCCACTGGGGGGCTCCTGGATGGCAGCATGAGTTACTTGGGGTCTGGATGGCGGGCACCCAGCCTGACCCTTGAGTCCCAGGGCACTTATTAGAGGCCAAGGTTGGATGGTGGGGACCAAGTACACAGGGGCCACAACATGCTGCCACCCCCGCCCTGCCACCTGCCTTCCCTCGCCCAGATGACCCCACTCTGGGACTCAGCAGCCCATTGCAAACATCAGACCGTCTCTCCAAGCAGCAGGCGCAGTGGTGGCACCAGCAGCAGGCGAAGGCAAGAGGTGCAGCCATGTAAAAACAAGGTGGGATGGAGCAAATGCGTCCGACGGGCTGGATCACATGCTTCCTATCCCCCTGCACCTCTGCCTCCACCTGTTGCCGGTGCCATCGCTGCACCTGCTGCTTGGAGGTCTGGTCTGGTGATCACAGTGGGCTACTGAGCCTCACAGCATTGCTGCCGGACACTGAGCAGTGCCAGGCTGGGGAGGGCCAGGGCAGCAGGGGTTGGTCTGTTGCTGTCTTCAGGGTAGCCCCGCAGGCCAAATCTGGGCCCATCACAGGCCGGATCTGACCCACGGCCTTGTGTTTGACATGTCTAGTAGCTTCAGGAGAGATTCATCCAGGACTCAAGTAGGATACCCAACTTAATTCTTGTTGCTCAACGCAAAAGCATTCATACTCTGTAGGTCCTGATGCAGAGATCCTAATCACAGGCACACTATTTCTCACCACACATTGTCTCATATAGTCATAACTATTTTCCTCTGTTTTCATGAAGTTGAAACGATTGAAAAACCTGATGCCTTGAATCATCATAAATGCTGCATTCCTCATCTAGCCTTATTTCATTAATCTATGCCAGGTCCACTTGTGGAAGAATGTGGTCTTAATTGCAACATCAGAACAACAAAAAATATCTCATTCTCCCTGTTGGAAGATAATCATCATTAATAATTTTTCTGCTTGTTCAAGAGAATAGACTATTCTTATTTCTTCCCATATCTTGGAGCATTGGTACTGCCAACAAATCAAATGTTATTTCTTAAGATAGAGAGCCAACATTTGAACTGCGGCCTTTGGGGTTGATTAATCAAGTAAATAAGGCTTGCTATACGAAAGGAATTTAATGTTAATGAAAACAATGCAATTCCTCTCATCTGTTCTCTCAATTAAATGGGAACCCAATTAATCTCAATTAAAAATACTAATAAAGACCTAGTTGAAACTCATACAATGTTGTAGTTGAAATAAAGTTAAAAATGCAAAGAAGAATGCAAAATAAAATTGGAAAATCCCCATTTCTATTTTTAATTAGATAACAATGATTACTATTTATTTATTTAGTTGGTTGGTTTGTTGGTTGGTTGGTTGGTTAGTTAGTTAGCTAATGTATGCATTAATTAGCTAACTAATGTATGCATCCAGCAGCGTAAAAAAGATAGGATACTTACTAGCTAGCTAGCTAGTAATTATCCTACCTTTTTTACGCTGCTGGATGTATACATTTTAAGAAATGTTCCTTTCACAAAGTACATAATGCCAAACTAGATTCTCTTTCAAGTTTTTTTCTGACAAATGGATTCTAATGTTAATTCATTATCCTTTTTATATAATATGTTTTCATACTATCAGTAGAAGATTTTACTTTCCAGCATCTGTTTTGTGAAAAATATTTATTCCTTTCAGACTTTATGAATTTTTGCATATTATTAACACTGAATATTATCAAAAATTCATGCAAGTCACACTGATCATGAGTCTAAGTGAAGAAATAAATGTGGTGTTTTGTTTCAGTTATTTCCTAACAAAGTCATCATGATAATGAAATATATTATGGATAAAAATTACAGGTAGTTCTCAACTTACAACAGTTCATTTAGTGACCAAAGTTACAACGGCAGTGAGAAACGTGACTTACGACCATTTTTCACACTTAACGACCATTGCAACATTCCCATGGTCACATCAAAATTCAGATATTTGGCAACTGACTCATATTTATGATGGTGGTGATGTCCCAGGGGTCATATGATCCCCTTTTGCAATCTTCTGACAAGCAAAGTCAATGACGCTGGGTTCACTTAACAACCATGTTTCTAACTGAATAACTGCAGTGATTCATTTAACAATTGTAGCAATAAAATGGGGCAAAACTCACTTAGCAAATGTTTCATTTAGCAACAGAAATATTGGGCTCAGTCATGGGTCATAAGTCGAGGACTACCTGTATTATGGGTAGACAAATACGTATTCATCATTTAATTTTCAGCTGCACTTTAGTGACTTCCAGTTATATGGACTTCTGTTACCAGAAAATTTAAGCTGGCTGAGAATTCTGGAAATTGAAATCTCTCATCAGGAACTTCTTAATAAATAATAGACTATTGCCAGGAGTGAGTAATTAATTAAAATTACCATAATGATTACAGTGGTAAAAGTAATATTTGTTTTTTAAGATTTATATCATAATATTATATTTATATTATAAACATTATATAATATGTTTACATTTATAATTGTTTTCAAACACATGCAACGTATAGGATAAGGATTGTATTCCTCACTGCTATGGGGGCAAGAAGTATTCCAGAAAGAAATCATGATCTCTGATGCTGTACTGAAATCTGTTCTTCCATTTCCTGAAAATCTGAAAAACAAATTTCTGGTTTTTTATCTTATTCTGAGGTGAGTCAAGGAAAGTGCTGGCATTTTTTTCCTCTGTTGTGTATCCCTCACTTTGCACGCTGATATCTGTAATGTATAAATTGTTCTTCCCTAGAACCTCAGATGAATGATTATCCCATCCTGCCCCATATTCTCTTTCTTCTCCTACCCCCATTGTAAGCATCTTAGAAGTTAAATGGTGCACTATTGCTAACCCAACTTCACTCTTTAAAATGAAGTGATATTATGGGAAAATATGAGGAAAGTAAACAATCTCGGAAGAATGCATATTATATATAGCAAGTACTAAGGCTGGAATAATCCTTCTGTGAACTTAGGATACAATTTCACAATGCATTAGAGATCATAACATGTTTTTTTGGTTATTAATTTAAATGTTTATTTTTGTTATGATACCATTGATGTATTCTGATAGTTTTATTGTGTTAACTCTTCTCTTTCAAACAAGCTTATATCTACTATATATACAAGCCACCAGTCGTTTGGAAGCTGTGCTACAGGACCTGGAAAAGATTAAAGCCAACTCTGAGGTAACTTAAAATAGAAATGAATACAAATATCTGCATAACCAAAAGTCCAATATATTGGTACTATTTTAACTTATATCCTGTCAAGTTATGGAGATTGGCAGTCATCCAGATCATGGTTGTCCGAAAAATGCTTTTTCATTCCATGCTCCACCATTCAGTCAGAACTGAAGAAGCTTCTTGGATGAGAAGCAAAACGTCTTCAAGCAAAAACAAAGAAAGTCTAGTTGCCTTTTGAAAAAGCACCTTTGGATTATTTCCTGACAACATTTGAGTGTATCTGGCATGACCAATTTTAGTTTTTTCACCTTTCTATTTTACATTCTCAGAGGACATTTTAAACTTGTCCTACACATATTGTTTGGAAAAATTAGGTTTTACTGTTAATTTCAAGAGTTCCCAAATCATCCTTTTTAAATGCTTAATGTTCTTAAGATGCAGAGCAGTTTTTAAATGATTTTTAATCTCATACTTTGGGGAAAAACATATTCTTAAACTGCTGATTACATCACAATTTTCCTTTTTTAGATTGATGCCTATTTATATACTGCAGATTTAAATTATCCCGTGAGTATGTTTTATTTTTCAGAAATCTGAATAATTCTTAAAATATGTTACAGTTTAAAATCTGCAATTCACCAACCTTTTACTATAGCCATACAGAGTTCTAGGTATAATAGTGTTTATTTTATTTTATTTCACTGTTTATGGACTACAGCAGCTTTCTAGGAGATATTCTTTGAAAACGTTCTGAAACTTGGTTTACAATGTGAGAATCAGATTGTTAACTGGAATTGTCTTTCAAGAGCTTGCTGCTTACTTGTTGAAACCATTCTCTCTTGATTTGTTTATGTCCTAGTTTTTCTGTGTACATCTGCCAGCCTGTTTAGATTATTTTCATAAGCAGTTGTCAGAGAAATGTCTGATTGGAACTAAAAAATAAATAAAATTTCAGCAGCTGTATCAAAGCTTTAGAACTCCCACATAGGGGAACTTATAAGCTACCCAAATACTATGGTAGCATATTTATCAGATTGTAATTAATTAAAATTAATTAGATGGCAGAAAATCATGACATTTTATATTTTATTTAAATCATATATAATTGTAGAATAAAATGTTCACACTGAATTGATTTTAATAAATGTTTATAATTAAAGTCCATTCCATGTAATTGTACATTGTAACTTACAGAGGAATTCAAAGATAAGTGAAAAACAGAACTTTGATCTCTCCAGACTTTGTGCACCATTATAATCAATACATATATATACATATACGCACACAACACACACATTTCTACTAAGCATAATTTCTCCACTTCTATATGCAAGAAGGGAGACTAATAAAAAATGAATGCAAAATGTAATGTCTGAATGAGTCCAGAAACATTTATTTATACAAACCTATTGATTTTTCTTTTTCTCTTGTTTTTCCTAGAGTCATTGTAATCTATCAGTGATAAAATGCTTTCAGCTTGAGATGGAAGTAGTTTTGTATGAATCTAAATTTGAGGATCGAAATTTTTGTAATAGTGTACATCGTATAGTCAGAATTGTTAAACATTTTTTATCCTTTGAAACGGTAAGTCCAACCTGGGCTAAACTACACATTGCACTGAATTAGTGTACCAGGAATTTGTAAAACCTCCTATTCATTTATAAAATTACTCAAATCATTTGTCAGATATGTCAGTAAAAGGTACCCTCCCCCCCACAAACACACATATATGGGCTGCTTATAGGGCTCTTGTAATAAAATATACATAGCAGGTTGAATTGACCTTGAGTGGCAAAAGGATGGAATCACAGGGAGGCATTGCCTAATAAAACATTTTTTTTCAAAATTCACTGACCACATCACAGAGATGCCAGCCCAGTAGGAAGAAGAAATAACGTCACCCAGATGGGCTAACCAAACCATTCCAATGTCATGCTGTAATGTACACTTTTCCCTTTGTCTTGTCTCTGTAATATAGTAGGTCAACGTGTATATGCTCTGGCTCTGCTTTTTCGCAGGTTACTCAGCAAGCAGCTAATGCTTTTCTGGGAGCTCCATGTACACACATTTTCGTTGTTTACATAACTAATAACATTATGTTATAGACCAGAGGTTCTCAACCTTGGCAGTTTTAAGACTTGTGGACTTCAACTCCCAGAATTCCTCAGAAGGCATGTCTGAATGCCACACATCAAGAGATAAAGTTATGATCTTTCTGCCATTTCCAAGGGAGCTGAGAATGCCCTCTATAAGATTGGCCCTTTTCTTGCTAACAATAAAGTCCACAGAGATCCTTTACTTTAATTCATAAGAGCAGGCTGTTATTCCACCAAATGATGATTTTCCTTTGATGTCCTTAATATTATTACCTCTTTCTCAGGTTGGGGATGGATGAAAAAAAATAGAGTTAGGAAAGTTTTATTATAACAACCTGGTGCAGTGATGGTGAACCTTTTAGAGACCGAGTGCCCAAAAACTGGCTCTGCCCCTGCCCTGCCCCCCGTCCCCTACCCCGCCTGCCCACAGGACCACTCACTGCCTCCAGGGCCTGCCGCAGATCACCCAGGCAGCCCAGCAGCGCTATGGCAGTCACACCATCTGCCTATGCCCTGCAGCATCAACTGCATGATGGGGTGTGAGGGCAGAGTCTTGTCTATGCTGCCTGGCTGCCATGTCCTTGGCTGCGCTGCTCTGTGTGGGTCATGCTCGAAGGCGACTCCTTCAGGGGGCCTGCTGGAAAGGAGGGGGTTGCGGGGGGAGGCAAAGCTGTGGCAACGGCACGTGTGCCCACAGAGAGGGCTCCGAGTGCTGCCTCTGGCACCCATGCCATAGGTTCGCCACCACTGACCTAGTGTAACAAACCGGAGAAAATTGTCTTGGTTCAAAAACTGAAAAATATAACTTCTTCAAGAATTTGCATATCCTAGTCTGATACACATATTCCAAACTTTGGGTGCATTACATGGAATGAGTCCAGTTTGGATGAACATATTCTGCTTCAAACAAAGTACATTAAATACTACAGTATTATCTATATTTAATAGCCTAAGCCAGAGGGTTCTAGTCAGTTAATTCTGAGGTTTCTGCAAAGATGGAAGGTGTGCCATTTTTCTTCTCATTCTTGATCCCCAGCTTCAGCCCTTGTTTTTAAAAAGCAAACCATTTTTCTCTTCAGCATCTGGAGGAGGTTTGAGATAATCCTCCTGCCTTTTGCTATGAGCTGAAGATCATACTTGATAAAAGATGTTGATTAAAACTGTCTGCCTTCTGTCTGGAAGCTGATAGTTAGAGCACTGAAAGAGTGGCTTCACATGCAACACAGCAAATTGTCCATGGAGAAAGACAACAAATATTTTTTTCAAAGAACAGCGTGGAGGTAGCACAGTTTTCCCTTTGTAAAGTTGAGATATTTGATAGATTGAACAGCATTGAACTGAATTGTGAGTTAAATATCCTGTCCACACAATCCTCTCCTAACATTCCTGTACTACTCAACATATTAACTAAAGGGTCTTCAAACCATATTTAGTTCATGGACAATGTTCAACTTTATTTTAAGAGGATCTCGGGAATTAATTAAATTGATAATAGGAGTAAATTGCAAAAGAATGTTTAAAGGGATTTAAGAACCTGTAAGAAACTGGGCAACATAAACATTTAGCTTTAAATTCTTTGTAGCTTGCAAGTTGCTACAGGATGAAAATAGCAACTAAAAAAATAAATATATAAGCTAGTAGCTGTAAAATGGACTGTTTGTTTATTGCAGTAGTATGAAATAGCAAAACGTAGTCACTGAGCTTTGCTAACATGGAATTTCATTCTTTTGGTGTTCCTTTGGAGCCATCTACTCACATAGTTTTCAATCTCATACCGCAGATTTAAGAAAGTAATTTTTTTCACTCTAACTGCAATAGAAATCTTAGGAACTTTTGTCATATATATATGTGTGTGTGTGTGTGTGTGTGTCTTTCTTTCAGCATTTTGTTTATTGTATTTTTCCTGATCTTTCATTTTTGAAGAATACAGATACATACACCTGCCAACGATGTGAAACATATAAAGAAAAAAAATATTCAGAATTTATAGAAAACTTCAAGTTTGTCATACAGCGGATCAACAGAGAAGAGAAGAAAAAATGAAAATTGCGTACTGAGATACTTCATTGAAGCTGGAAGAAATAATGTATTTTCTTCTTGGAAAGATAATTTCTCAGTGGTCAACCTAATCCCATCTCTCTCTTTTTTTCCTCTTCCCTTCTGGGAGTTTGAAGTAGAGGTAGTCCTCATTTAGTGACCATTTGCAGTTACAATTATGATGAATAACTTTTCAACCAATCCTTGCATTTGTACAGCAAAGGAAATTTAAGTAAAATCATAGGCACAGTTGAGTTTCCACTTAGCAACTACTTTGCTTAATGACAGTTGTGGGTCCCAATTGGGATAGTTAAACAAATACTACCTGTAACTAAAGTAGCTGAATCACACCTATGCACCAATTATAAAAGAGAGGAGATCACATTTATATACTGAAAAAGAGAAAGAGAATCCAAACAGGAGGAAATTGGGGAACGTCAGGACTGAGTTGGCTTTGGACAGTGACTGAAAATATGAAAAAGATGGTTGCAGATTCAGAAACACACAAGTGAAAGATGAATAGATCTGCTTCTTCCATGAAATCCAGAAGTGCTGAATAGCATAGCAGCCAAAGAGAGCTGAGTAAACCTGGTAATTCACAAAGATGTAGGCAATTCAAACTTCTTGTACAAGAAAGGGACGAAAAGTGGAAAAGGAGTTTACAGAAATTATGAGACGATAAACATAGTGGTAAGATGTAGAAATAAGTAGGTATCATCATTTAATTTTAAATCCTTTCCTTGGTTTTTTTTTTAGTAACCCTTCAGTACAAATCTGTCACATGGGTAAAAGGATCTGGATAGAAATGTAGAGATGAATTGCTTTGTCATCACATATCATTTGATGTTACACTATAGGATATTGCATGCACATACAGTATGTCAGTATTAAGAGATACAAATGCCAAATCTAATAGGAATTTTTCTTAATTATTTTTCTCAAAGATTTCTATATATAAAAGCTAAAGATCTCTCTATATAAAAGCGTAAAACAATCTTATCCTTAATTCTGGATAGAGTTACTGCATAATTTGGGGGTGCTTCTAGACTTGCAACGTCTGTTTGAAGAGCAGGTGGCAGTCATGATAGGAGGGTCTTTATGCAGTTGCCCCCTTTCCTGGATCATAAGGCCCTGCATTTAATCACTCATGCCTTGGTTATCTCCCAGTTGGATAACTGCAATATTCTCTACTGAATACTTGAAAAGTATTCAGACACTAAAACTGGTACAGAATGCAGTGGTGCAGAGAGTTTTGGAGGTACAGATGGTACATGTGACGCTATGTGAGCTGCACTGGCTGCCAGTTTGCTTCCATGTCTAATTCAGGTTGTGGTTATCACCTTTAAAGCCCTTTATAGCATGGGTCCAGGGCATATGAAGACCATCTCACCCAATGGGACTACCCCACTCCACTAATTCCAGTGGGAAAGGGTTATTTTGGATCCGGTTAGCCAAAGAATTTAAACTGCTGGGGTCCAGGAGAAGAGCTCTGTAAAAACAAGTGTCTGGAGATGTAAAACAATGACAAGCTTGAAATTCTGGAGAGTAAGAGAGCAATTATAGACAGAATTAGAAAGAGAAGTAGATAATATGGGTCTATTGGCTTTGGCATTGAGCGAGGAGAAAAATGACATTTACAGTATTCCCAGGGAATTCTGATGAAAATATTTTTTAAAAAGTTGCTATAGTTTTAGAAAATGTTTTGGATTGGGATGAGAAGGTAGAAATTGATAAGATTTATAGAATAAATACAAGATTTGTTAGAATAAGAATTGTTCTGAGGGATGTTTGGGGGCCCTTTGTCAAAAAGAAGACAAGGAATCAAACTTTGCAGCAGCATTTTAATACAAGATCAAAGATAATACAGCTATAATTGTTCTCAAAGACATTCCTATAAGAATCTTCGGTAAAAGAAATGAGTATTCTTTTTTAGCCTGAGAGATTAAAGCAAAAAAAGATTCCATTTCAATGGGACAAATTGGTAGTGTGATTTTTACTTTTAACAAATGTATTAAAAATGTGGTCATTTATAGCCTTTATCTGGGTCTTTATCACATAGTGATAGACTGATTTACACAATTTTGCATGAATAAAATGTAATTCGCTGTTTAAAAATTAGTTATATCAATTTATTGAAGCTTATTTGGATTTTCTTTGGGTGGTTTTTCTTTTTCTTTTTTCTTTCTTTTTCTACATGTTTTCTAGAAGTAATTTTTTTTCTTATAATAGTGGTTTGTGTAATTTAGCAATAAAAAATGAAAATTACCAATAAAACAGCCTAAGGTGTGTGAGTGTCTTCCTGTTGCTTTGGATTATGGAAAACCTAATATAAAAATTGCCTTTTCTATGACCCTGTAATCCCTTAATTTGGGATACAGAAGAATTATATGAAAACCTACATATGTGATATTGTATTTACCAAACAACATTGATAAAAAAAAATAAGCCAACCTATCCCTGGATCAAACCCCTACAGTCAGTGGAAAAATTGTAGCTTAACATTTTTCATCATACTTCCCAAAAAATTTGGGAAAATATTAATTCTTCAGTGGGTATATGAAGGCAAGAAAATGAAATTAAAAATCCTATTGCAAAAATAATATACTGTAATATACAAATGCTACTATTTGTCTTTTGCATGACTTCAATATCTTAACTTTGCTTTATTTCAAAATGTTAACTGTACCATCTAATACAAATACATTTATAGAGCTGCACAAAAGTGTTCAACTAACTTTATTCGATCCAAAATAGTATTTCAAAATTTCATCTTCAATTTTTCACTTATGAATTATTTTTACAGACTGGAAAGAAAATTGTAGCTGCAGTTAAGAGGAAGAAAATAACTCCCATTAGTTTCCAAAATACAACTCTTCTCTTCTGGGACTGCTAACAGGAATGAACTTGAGGACTTGGGCACACGGATGTTGCTTGAGCAAGAAACCAAAGAGGGGACCTTTAGTGGCTGGGTCAGGCATGAATGAAATTAGGCGTGGAGGGAGAGTCTGATGAAGGAAAGAACATGTTTGGTGGTGAGAGACCACTGGGGAATGTACTGTAGATTAAGAGGAGAGAATGAAATATTGAAGAGTTTACTATGTTAGGATTGGGAGGGTATTGGGAAAGAAGGAGTCAAGTTTGCTGGATGAAGAAATTAGCTTCTTGAACTTGCTTGGACTTCTGCCTCGATTGCTTCTGTTTTCTATCATGTTTGATACTTACCTGGAAACTTAATGTCCAATATTTGTGAGACCTGTTAGTCTCCTGTCTCCATTATTAATATATGTGTATTCTCATTGGAGCATCCACCACTGCTGCTTATTTTTATCGTAAGAGTATGTATGTAGAGGAGGGAAGAGTTATTTGGTGAAGATTGTACAAAATTGTACTCTGGGGTAGACTAGAATGAAGATTTGGCCATGGAATTGGAAGTTTGTAAATACTTACATTCAGGGAGAGAATTGGCTGAATGGGAAAACTTGGGGACGAGGAGAATGTAGCTTATTCCAGGACTCAGAAAGTCAGACCATTCCTTCCTCAGTCAGTTGACCATAAAGCTAAAGTAGGTAGCCTAGTAATTTTTAATGATCTCTCTCCTTTTGCTAGATCAGTTACTTATAACATACACTTCCTAGATTCACCTCCTCCCAATTTATTAATTTTAATACAATATATTATTTCAATTAACTGGGCACAAACATTTGTGGAAATTTGTAAGGAAAAGTGACTTGCAGGTTGTTCAGGTGGTCTTAAATTCCTTGAAATAACTATTGCCAGGAAAATATTTATTAGCACAATTAAACATTTTTATTATATTACATGGATAAATATTGACAAATGGATGAAAATTCCTCTGAAGTTATTGGTAAGAATAAGCATGTTTAAAATAATTACAATGTAGTGATTTATATGTTAAGAGCTACTACAGTATATACTAATTCATTCAAGCTGTTTTAAACTGATGAATTGTAGACATTTCTTTTGAATGGACAAATTTTCAAGTTTTCATTGCACAAATGTAAGTTTTCTTTTGACAATGGAGAGTTTCTATTTTGACACAAGTTTTAAGTAAAATGAGAATAACTTTGATTATAAATTATTGTGGCTACAACTAAAAAGCAGTTATCTGATTCCGTTGAAAACTTGACAAGTCCTTAATTCTAATTTTAGCTGTGTTTAGTATTTACTTATTTTCCCTTGCTCTAAAGGCAGCAAGATACATTTGCAAAACTTTGAGATCATGATTTTAAATTAGAACATGGTTACAAAAAGCTGAAAATTTGGGATAATCCGAATTTCAAGAGGGTAAGCTTGTTTTTATTAACCTGAGGGAAAAAAGGTCACTTTCTCATTGAAGTTTCTTTTAAAGCAGCGGTTCTCAACCTATGGGTCGCGACCCCATTTGGGGTCGATCGACCATTTCTCGGGGGTCGCCAACCAAGGCGATCCGCCATTTTCCCCCTCAGGGGGCGCCGCCGCACATGCGCGCTGTGCATGGGGGCGCAGCGGCACATGCGCGCCACACATGGGGGTGGCGCCGCGCATGCATGCCGCGCATGTGGGCACATGCGCACGTGCGCTGCGCATGGGGCGACGTCGCACATGTGCGCCGCGCATGGGGGTGGCGTCGCACGTGCGCATTGCGCATGTGCACGGCACCGTGCATGCGCAGCACGTTTGTGTGATGGGGTCGCCGTCACATAAACGTTGAGAACCACTGTTTTAAAGTTTTGAGAAATGACTAAAACAAAAACAAAAAAACCCTCCCGGATCAGTGAAAATTCCCAGTGTCAATATATACAATATATAAAGGAGTATATACTGTGTGTGTATGTGTGTTTGTTTTGTTGTTTTAAAAAATAAAAATAAATTTAAAAAAAAACATTTTTTGATCTCTCTTTGGAACTGTTGTGTTGGCAGTCTCTGAACTTCCTAAATTATTGAGTGTATAGAATTAGATCTTAATGGAATTTAAAGTTACAGCTGAGCTATATAAACATTTGAAAATGAAAAAGCGTTAGTTAAACATTGATAATTTACACAAAATTTTGGAACATCCTATTTTATTAAATTGGTGGTATAGTTATCTAAAGAATGTGACATGTATCTTGCATTAAAATATATGTTTATTGGAAATGCCAGCGGATATTTTTTAAAAGTTAGCTGTTAGATTTTTTTTTAATTGAATAAATTATAGTAGAGATTATTTGGATTTCCTCTTTGGTTACTCAATGTTACTTAATATTTCTTTTTTATTAATATTCTCTCTGATTAATAAAAAGAATAATGTTCTCAAAAACAAAAGTATTAGAAATATAAATTTAATAAATTAGGTATTGAAAATTTAAAATCTGTTATTTGTGACAAAAGTTGAATATATGGGCTTTGTAACAAAAAGATAATTTATGGTTGGAAAGAAACTACGATCCGAGACATAAAAAGTAAAAGAAAAAGTCTGTATAGAGGAGCAACAATTTCAAAACAAAATCAAACCAAAAAAACCTCCCTACCATCTGAGATTAACTTGAACGTAATTATGTCCCCAGACATCCTTAGGTGGCCAATTATATCAAAAGTAGATCATCCATCACTTCATAGTCTAATCCACTGAAACAGCTCTAATCAATCAGTATCACCAATGAGCATTTGGAGTTACCCATCCATCATCTGTCCAACCACCTTGACAGAGAAAGGCAAATTAGAAAACTTTTATATCTTTTAAATTGGGAGGGGTGTCCTTTTTTTTACAAGTTGAAAAAACAAAACAGTATTACCTAGAGACAATAATAAAACATAAGACTTCTATCAATAGATCAATCCCAGCAATTACAGCCAAAAGGGAGCTGATCTCATGGGCAGACAATAACTCCAAGCATCTTGTCCACATCCTTAAGCAAGGAGCAAATAAGTGATTCAATAACATCGGGCAAGCAAGTATACTGCCCATCTATTATCATAATTAATAGTATTATCAATATGCTAACTATTATGAGAGATTTTGTCTATAGAAAAAGTTTGAAAAGCTATTGCAGTTTGCTGGATTAGCTGTGTTTCATGGGGATAGTTCCTTTGGGCATTATAGTAGGAAAAAACCCTATCTTTTTCTCTACTTTCAAAACCACTACATACATAACGGTATATTTTAATGGACTCTAGGCATTGCCCATAATAAGCTGAGTGATTTAAATTACACAGTCTAACCTAGTTAATAAATACGTTTCAAAAATGTAATTAGTGCATATCAAAAGCTTTTTCTACATCTAAAGAAGTGGCCACAGCTGAATACATTCTCTCAGATATAATGTATATCTACTAATAGTGAATCTGTATGGATGAGGATGAATTAGAAAAGGAAATATATTCAGTAATATCTGTGATAATATTGCAATCAAAATTTTAGCATTTACATTTAACAAGGATATAAAACTAGTACAATATGTAAAACCCAGTTTCAATCAATATTACTATAATGTAGACTCATGATAAAAATATGCATTTCATATAAATCTCATTATACAGTAGCCAACAATTTTTCTAGTGGAAATTTATATGGACCAGGGTTCTTTCCTGCTTTCATAAATTTAATAGCATGTATACTTTGTGGTAACAGTATCATGATCTCAGGAAATAAATTTTAGAAATACTTGTTTTATTTAAAAAATATATAAACTTGTTCATTTAGTACTCATGCTCAAAGTCAAACATAAATGCATGTGCACGTGTATGTATAAAAACATACACAGTATATTCTTCAATTCAGTCATGTCCAATTCTTGGAGATTACATAGAAAAGTCCTTGCCATCTTCTTGGCAAGATTTTTTTCAGTGGTTTGCCATTGTCTCCTTCCTAGGATTGAGAGAAAGTAACTGGCCTGAGGTCTCCCAGTGGCTTTGTGTCCAATGCAAGACTCCCCCTCCCTGTTTCTATACTGTATCTGCATGGGTGGGTATGTTTTGAATCTTGCCGTTTGAATATTTAACTGTGAAGGAGGTAGCATTATATTAATGTGACTGTTACACTCTAGTAGCCAGTCAACTTGTTTTTTTTTCTATATATATTCTCTTTTCCAGGATATTATGCTGAGATCTTTTTTTTTAATACAAGAAGTACTATATATGCAGTAAGCCAACCCCAAACTAATTAATGTGTCACATATTCAACAAATTCACTGATGAATTTGTTATCTGAAAGAACATTTCATTACTTTCTTAAAAAGGAAATTTAAATATTTAGTTATTCTATATACAGTTGAGCTGTGAATAGATAAGAATAATTTGTATATTACTCTAATTGGTTTATTAACTTGACCATAAGTCATTCAGTGCTTAAATGGATAAAACTGAGACCAAAGATTGCAAATTGAAGCTTACATTCATTTAGGCAGAGACTGGTAAAAGAATTCTTTGCCTGCGGACAGGAACAGAGTAAATCAGTCTATGGAAATAGCTAAAGGGAAAAAACGCCCAAGCCATTAGCTGGAAGTCAAAAGTTCAGAACTGCAGGAGTTTGCTGAATCCAATCCAGAGGTCAAAAACTACTGATCAGTCTACAGGACTGGGAGCCTGGAGGCTGTAGGAATTTAAAATCAGCAGAACAGGGCAGGAAGCTGGAAGAACCTTGAAGCATGCCCTTAAATAGCAAACTGGCCTTGATTGATTAGTGATGCTCAAGGGGTTACACAGATTAAGATGGCTAGGCTCTTCTTTAACTGCCATCTTAACTGCCATCTTGGCACTTGGATAAGCTTTGGATCTTTTCCCTTTTCTTAGAGTCAGCAGCTATTTGTGTTGAACTTACCTCATTAGATCCAACACCTTCAGGATTGACTTCTCAACTGCAGGCTGGGAATCCATCAGTTTCTGCTCTGTAGAGTCACAATCCAAGAAGCCCACAACACATTCAGAGTCAACACAATCCTCGTAAATACCACTGATAATATTGTTGGAGTATGGTCAGATATAACAGTGAAACTTATTTATTTTTGTTTATTGAATTTGGTCAACAGACTTTTCAATTAAAACTAAGGACAGACAAGTTTAAAAGCATCACGCAAAGACCCAAAGGCCCTGAACAGTTCACAAATAAAGAACATTCACAATTTTATATGACAATTAATAAAACAGATGACATGAGCTAGTGTAACTATGTCCTATTTGTAAAAACAGCAACAAGATATTAAGCTTTGTGTACAGCTATTGCCTTGTCAACACGAGATAAGAGTATGCAGCAATGCATATTTTCATCTTACTTGGAAATTTGATTTAAAGTAGTGCTTGTTCCTACTGTTGTAATAAAAACAATACATTTTTTCAATACATGTTCTACAGTTTCAACTAGGACATAATCTCAATTCCAGAAGTGTTTTCTTGAAATGACTTTCTGATGTAACTGTGGAGAGGCAATTAAATCAAGCAGCAGAATGGATATTTTAAATATTTTGACATAGTTATCATGTGAAGCGTTAGAGTAAATGTTATTTATCTGATTTCTTAAGGACTAGGCTGTTTAGGAAATCCAGATGAGAACAAGTCTAGGTATTAAATAGTCAGCACACTGTTTATTCTCTTCCATTACTGTATATAATTAGAAAACTGTAACTATATGAAGCTCTGCTGGGAATGTTTGTCAGGGCAATCATATTTGTGCAGATGTCCATGCATAAAATTCCACTACCCATTTAGGCTGTGATTCTAGTAAATTGAGTAAATACAGTACACCTGCTGCATATCTTGTCAGTTTAGAAATTTTGACTGGTGGGTTCTAGGAAGAGGTCCTTCTCCGCTGTTGCCTCCATCTGTTGGAACATCTTGCCCTAGAGGTGAGGCCCCACTTACCTGATTTCCTGGAAGAGTGTTAAATTAGCATAGGGGTCTGAGAGTATGGTACCACGCAGGGAATAGCTGGTGGATTGAAGACACTCCCACTGCTTTTTTAATCTCTTAGTCTTCTGTATTTTTTAATTTTGATTTTTAGTTTTAACTTGTAAGTTTTAACTTTTTCTTAACTTTGTTTTTAATTCATCTAATTCAACATTTTTTGAATTATTGAATTATTTTTGAAATATTTTTATTCAACATATTTTTATTATGTTGTTTTAAACCACACAGTGTCAGTTAGGTGAGTTGAATGAGGTTGAATCCAAGAATTCAAGATCCCAATTGCCAGCCATTGGATGACCTTAGAGGCAAAGCAAATGGGAGGACCCAGAAACACATTCCTATGCAAATTTGAATGGTCTATAAGTAGTTTTATTATTATGTATTGCTTATACAGTATTTATTATTTTAAATTAATGGTTTTATTTTGTTTAAATTCCTAAACTGCTGTGGGCTTTTTTTCTTTGCTGAGAATCCAAATGTAATAATAAAGAAATAAATATATTAGTACCCTTTATTATATTTCCTAGTCTACAGGAAATTATTTAAGAATGGACACTCAGTAAAATGGTGATGTGATTTGGCTCTGACAGCCAATTTCACATTGCAGTTGTATGCTTGTGTTTTCAGAAGTAAGTTCTGTTTAATTTTAAGGGAACATATGGGTAGTCCTCAACTTATGACCACAATTGAGCGCCAAATTTCTGTTGCTAAGTGAGACAGTTAAGTTAATTTTGCCCCATTTTACAACCTTTCTTACCACAGTTGTTAAATGAATCACAGCAGTTGTTAAATTAGTAACACGGTTGTTAAATGAATTCCCCAATGACTTTACTTGTCAGAAGGTTGCAGAAGGTGATCACATAACCCCAGAACAATGCAACTGTCATGAATCAGTTGCCAAGCATCCGAATTTTGATTATATGACCATGCAATGCTGCAACGGCTGTAAGTGTGAAAAATGGTCATAAGTTACTTTTTTTAGTTGCACTGTAACTTTGAACG